CCTGGATACGTCGCTCTTCTTCCTCTTCCTGCACAGATCGCTGTGTTTGTTGTGGATGATGAGCATAAGGCTGCATTGGTGGGGGCATCTGAGCCGGTTGGTAGGCTGGTTGCTGAGGAGCAATAGGGTAAGCACCAGGCTGGTTGGGATATGCGTTGTAACTAGTATCCTCGTCGGGCATAGCTTCCTCAATTCGAAAGCTGGCACTGATAGATGCGTTATTACGGTCTTCGAGCGATGCGTACTGGAGATCGGAAAGATTCGTTGGAGGGGGGAGGTTGGCATGGTCATCGGCCTCGTTAAAAGTAATGGTTTCAACGACGACAAAGTCGCTCCAATCGATTTGAGCGAATTCTTCCTTCTGCTTTTCTTCCTCCTCCTCTCTCTTTTGGCGTTCGGACTCGACAAACTTGGCATATTCCGCTCGTTGCCTGGCGCGGTTAAGAACAAGAAACTTATCCTTGATATTGGCTTCAAGCTCTCTTACACGCTCTTCTTGAAGCTTTCCACCTTCTCCACTCAAACCACTCGCGCGCAAAAGGGTTGTGTACTGATCAACGATATGCTGGAAAAAGTTGTGGAGAGTATGGTTAGGAATAAGGAATGAAAACTGCGGGTTGCCAGCCTCTCGCTGAGCCAGCTGTGTCATGAATTGCCGCCCGTTTTTGGCAACAAATAAGGCTGCAAGTTGGATTACGTCCAGATCCTTTCGGGCGATGCGAGGCGTTCGCGCAGAGAATTGAAAATCGACGGGCTTCGGGGGTCCCTGGGGCTTGAGAGGTTCGGCGGCAGGTTCATTCGCGCGGCCAGCAGCGATTGCCGTACCACGTCCACTCCTCACTTCATCAAGCCGCCATTGATAGAAGGGATGGTAGGCATCGGAAGGGTTGAGAAAGCTAAACTTTGGGTTGGAGCGCTCCTTGTCGCGAATACGATCCTCAAAGACAGCGCCATTGCGCGCTACGTAGCCGGCAGTTTTCTCAAGGACATTTCGGATCTCGCGAGGAGGGAGGACAACACCAGCCGGGGGCTTAATATCGTCGAGAATGGATGCGGCGGCATCGCCGTTGGTTGTTACGGCTGCCATCGTGAGGAGAATCGAAGGACGCGCTTAAAGGCTGATGGAGATGCTACTTAGAAGGCGACTTGGGAAATTTCGAAGTGCTCTATCTAGTATGTACCAAGGTACCACCTAGCGACGCGAAGCTGTTGAACGGATGATTATTGTTCCGCGATTTTCGCCGAGTACCCTTAATCAGCTATCAACCTAATAGAGGACCAACTTTTTTTAATCTTTATTGTAGGAAGAATTATTAAAATCCACTTTCTAGCTATCGCACTGCATATGCTCTGATATCAATAAATCCTTATGACAAGATGTCCATGGTTACCCAAGATCTGATCCCGACATCTTGGAGTACTTCCGTATCTGGCCATCCTGGGCACGGAGTAATGCAACAGAAGCCGTTGTACGCACAGTTAGATACCTAGTTTATGTAAATATCTCTATCTATTCTACGCTTTCTAGTAAGGTGAACGACTGTTTAAGTAGGAGGTATATATAAGCCCCGACGTTTCGATCTATTGCCAAAGCTACTAGGTAAAGATGCATGTTGGTTGACAATCGTATTATGTTGATTGGCATTCATATTACGCTATGGATCATGGTATATCTGCGCACAATTTCGCAGCCGATTTGTTGGCTTTGTCGTGTGACTTGAGATTGCTTCCATAGACTTTGCCCCTATCAAATTAGAATATGGATGCCCCGCAATCGCTTCCACCTTAATCCAAAATACACTAAATGGTACTGTATGTTATCAATTATCACGGAGCAGTCGCCGTTTTCCCCGACCAACATCCTACCTAGGCTGTCATAGTATCTTCAACACACCTTCGGTATTCGGCATTCCAAACCGCTATTGCTAGACCTGTTCAGGGGTCTTATCAACAGCCTCGCTAAGAGCAAAGCATTGTACAAGTACACATTAACCCCAGGGGACAAAACATCGCAAAACTGGAGTGGGCTTTTGATGGAAAGCTCTTCCGTCGATACAACTGTCGAAGAAACCCCGCCTTTCCTCTATGTCATCCCGGGATAACTACTCAGTGTTGCCAAATTATATGCAAGTCTGTTCTATGGAGCTGCCAGCATGGAGGGCATCGGCTCTCGAGGCCGCTTCTCAATCCCTATTTGATGAGAGTTCCACTCGTTCCGAAGATGCCAGTGTGTTATTGGTCTTACTGTCATTCTTTTCTCCCTGCGAAAAAATCCCGTCGATCCTTTTCGTACGCGGTTCAACATCGAGGAAACGCTGGACAGTTGAAGGCAATATTGAGTTTGCTGATGCGACCAGAGTCGGGCTGGCCTCGGAGTTGGTGGACCTATTATCAGATGCTCAACGACTTACACAGGCTTTTGATGAGCTGTGTCGGTCTGCGGCAGTGCTCGAATACCCCAATGAGACATACCATTTGAATGAGGATATGTCAGCACGGGTTCATCGAAGCCTGGCGCCAGATACTTTACCCTTCTGGCGACAGCAGGCACTAATCGTGGCGTACAGGGCAATACCTTGGAAGTATATCGAGTTTCCGTGAGTCCAGAACCGACAACCGTCGAGCTCGAACCACTGACATTACAAAAGAGGCCCTGTAGTCAGATCGTTCCTGCCACATTTGCACCATGTTGCAGAGGCGTTCCAAGACTGCTTTGAAGAGCTACCTAGGGCGACCAGGACCGACTTTATGCTTACACTTATCGAGGCTTTCCGGTTCCCGGATATGGCCTGGAAGTACTTTGCCATTGGCCAGGCTGAATTGGCTGCTGGTCGATTGAAAGACACACACCTTCGCCTTTGTATCGGCCAGACCAAGGCAGTGCTGGGACGCCTCAGTGGAAACATGGACGAGGCCGTCAATAGTCTTAACGACATTGTGTCAAATGACTCGGCTGCCGCTGCAAGTAAGCGAGTACGATGCGAGGTCGGCGTTGCAATCATTCAACGTTCTTTAAATTGTATTCAAGTTGCGGATCTTTCCACAGCACAGGAACTACTGGAGGATTGGGATCCCTATGACGCAGAGCCATCTCTTTTGGAGAAGATTATTAGCTTTCGCAGATTTTCGTTGCTGGGACGAGTCATGCGCCTGCAGGGCAACTTCGGCAAGGCATTGGAACTTCTCAAAACAGCACATCAGGCATCGCAGGTACCAAGCGAACTCGTTTTCGATGAGGATCTCCGCGATCTCACATGTGACCTGGCTGACACTTTACGAGAACTCAACGAACCCGTGGCTGGTGAGGGATATCTTCGTACAGAGATCATACGGCGTACCGAGAGGCCAGACCCATTGCCTGGTAAATCGCTTCTAGAATTGGCTTTAGCCGAGGTTCTTTTTGCTCAGGAACGCTATGGGGAGGCGGAAGAGATATGCCTCGACATTGAGTCACGAGTGAGTCTTCTCAAATACGAGAGGTTGCGCGTAAATGTCATATTGGCAAAGCTTTCACATATCCGATCGGAATTCGATGTGGCTCTGTCGCGATGGAGCGAAGCGATGCAGGCATTGCAGGAATTTTCCCTGGTAGATGGACAGGTACAGAACATTATCTCTGCGTCAATGGCTGATGTTTTGGATGCCCAAGGTCACAACTGGCTGACGAAAGAATCTCCTCGAAAGGCTTCGCTGACAGAATTGGCAAAGCCAGAGGGTGTGCCACATTGGATCGCCGGTTTCCGGCAATGGGCAGAATACCTCCAGTCCAAAGGCACCGGATAACCTGTAGTTGTTAATGGCTGGATTTACTAAAACATAGGAGAATCTACGTTGGTAACGAACTCATTATAAAGGTGGAATTTAGATACCCAGGATCGAGCCAATTGATCATGCTAACGGCAATACACATCAGCAAAAATGTTTCGAGTGAATGTCCATGCTCGGCCACTAAGATGTGGTCTAGAACGCGCGTTTCAAGTAACTTGGTGATCCATTCATGAATTAGAAAAGGGGTCAAATTGATGGTGCTGTATTCCTGAGCGTTAGCTTATAAGTTGTTTGAAACCGGTGCCACAGCTGAGAACCCCCTTTGTGGCTACAGCTATAGATAGCCACACTTGGTTGAAGATATTTAGAAAGGAAGTTATTAAGCAACTGAAAAGGCAATCAATTGATGGCAGGGGATGTCCAAGACGGTTCCTAAAAACAAGCCCATTGTTGATCGATCATCAACATCAAACACGTTTTGTGAGAGCTGAAACCAACCAAACTGCTTTCATGGAAGAGCTATCACCAGGCAATAATCAATATCGATAGACACCTGCTGAAGCTCTGCTCTCGGGCTAGTGTGGCGGGGACGCCAGGGGATCTTCGCAACCGGGGCCGGGTTTGATTCGCTGCAGGGGTCCCGTCTGGTCCAGCTTAGGGAGAGCTAGAGAGCCTCCACCGGGCTGACAGACAGACTAGACGTGCTGGCAGTGGGCAGGACAGGAACGAGCCGAAAAGGCCACTGTAGCTACAATTTTTGAGTGACACGCGCTTGCTTTTGCTTGTCCTCGTACCGCAACCATCCACCCCATCCCATCACGAATTCCATACCTCTGGTAGTAGGTTCTGTTGCAGTCTCAGCCCGCATAAGGTAATATTGGCTGCTATCCCCTGAAAGCTTCATCCCTCCTCTTTTCCCCTTCTCTTCTTTTCTTCTTTACTACCTCCCATCACCATTATCTTCCCTCACTCAGGCTTATTGCATCGTCTACCGATACTGATATAATCGGCGGTCCGCGGTTCAGCTTTTGGGTCATTTCCCCTTCTCCTTTCTCTTCCGTTTCCTTTCTTTCCTTCCCTTTAACGCTCCAGTCATCGATGAGGTATCTTTAAATCCTCCGACGGTTCGTATCCTAGCTTTTCTTCATCGACTCTCGTTACATCGAACCAGCGAATTGGACCTCTCGCGATCGAATCGACTCGACTTTCTATATTGATACCCTACTGCCGCCATGGCTCGTACGAGGGGCAAAAGTCCCCAACCGCCAGTCAAGGCCGCGACGCCTGTGACCGAGAAACAGCAGCCCATCGCAGCTCCTCAGCAGCAGCAACCCACTGCTGTCACCACCAAGTCCAAGAACAAGTCTAAGAACAAGGTTACCTCGTACCAATCTGAGGGCGTCGAGGACAACGATGTCTTTCTTCTCCCCGTTTCCGACTACTGGGTAGTACTCGCCCTCATGGTCCTTGCTACTGCCGTCCGTGTCTACAAGATTTATCAACCTACAAGCGTTGTCTTCGATGAAGTCCAGTGGGTCCCCCGGTCATCTGGAGCTTCATGGCCGCTTCAGTCCATATCATTCCTGTCAATGCGCTAACCTGTGGGTGTTTATCAACAGCTTTGGCGGTTTCGCTACCAAGTACATCAAGGGCAAGTTCTTTATGGATGTCCACCCTCCCCTAGCCAAGATGCTCATTGCTCTCACCGGATGGCTGGCTGGTTTCGACGGCAGCTTCGATTTTAAGGAGATTGGCAAGGACTATATTGAACCTGGCGTCCCCTACGTCGCCATGCGAATGTTTCCTGCTATCTGCGGTATTCTTCTGATTCCTTGCATGTTCTTCACACTCAAAGCTGTTGGATGCCGCACTATGACTGCTGCTATGGGTGCGGGCCTGATTATCTTTGGTATGTAGATGTCTTCGTTTTGTTGCCGTAACTCGCATGGCTGATTACTGACTATGTGCAGAGAACGGCCTTCTTACTCAGGCTCGTCTGATTCTTCTTGATTCCCCTCTCGTCGCCGCGACCGCTTTCACAGTCCTTGCCTTTTCGTGCTTCACTAACCAGCACGAGCTTGGTCCTTCCAAGGCTTTCCAGCTGAGCTGGTGGTTCTGGCTTGTCCTTACAGGTCTCGGCCTGGGTATTACTGTGAGCATCAAGTGGGTTGGACTCTTCACCATTGCTTGGGTTGGCTCCCTCACTCTCATCCAGCTCTGGGTTCTTCTCGGCGACAACAAGAACGTGTCCATGGTAAGCACTTCCGGCCTAATAGTGTTTCGAATCGTGACTAACATTAGCACAGCGTCTTTTCGGCAAGCACTTCATGGCTCGAGTATTCTGTCTGATTATCATTCCTCTCACTTTCTACATGGCTATGTTCGCCATTCACTTCGTTTGTCTTCAGAATCCTGGAGATGGCGATGGCTTCATGAGTTCCGAGTTCCAGGCCACTCTCAACAACAAGCGAATGAAGGATGTCCCCGCCGATGTCATGATGGGTAGCCGTGTCACTATCCGCCATGTCAACACCCAGGGTGGTTACCTTCATTCTCACCCGCTTATGTACCCCACCGGCAGTAAGCAGCAACAAATTACACTCTATCCTCACAAGGATGACAACAATGTCTGGCTTCTTGAGAACCAGACTCAACCCCTTGGAGTTGACGGCCAGCCCATCAACGGTACCAAGGCCTGGGATGCCCTTCCCGAGCCTGTCCACATCAAAGATGGTGCCGTTCTTCGTCTTTACCACAGCCCTACCCACCGCCGTCTGCATTCTCACGACGTTCGCGCCCCTATCACTGAGGCTGACTGGCAAAATGAAGTTTCCGCCTATGGTTATGAAGGATTTGAGGGTGATGCTAACGATCTCTTCCGAGTCGAGATTGTCAAGAAGAAGACTCGGGGTGCTGTTGCCAAGGAGCGTCTCCGAACCATTGAGAGCAAGTTTCGCCTTGTTCACGTCATGACTGGCTGCGTCCTATTCTCTCACAAGGTCAAGCTTCCTGATTGGGCTTCAGAGCAGCAGGAAGTTACTTGCGCCCGTGGCGGCACTCTTCCCAACAGTTTGTGGTATATTGAGGGCAACAGTCACCCTCAACTGCAAGGTGATGTTGAGAAGGTCAACTACCGAAACCCTGGTTTCTTCGGCAAGTTCTGGGAGCTTCAGAAGGTCATGTGGCGAACTAACGCTGGCCTCACTGATTCCCACGCATGGGATTCCCGCCCTGAGTCCTGGCCTATCCTCCGCCGCGGTATCAATTTCTGGGGTCGCCAACACACTCAGGTTTACCTCCTTGGCAACCCCATCATCTGGTGGTCTTCCAGCGTCGCTGTTGCCATCTGGATTGTCTTCAAGGCCATTGCCGTCCTCCGCTGGCAACGCAGTTGCAACGACTACGCCAATACTACTTTCAAGCGTTTTGATTATGAAATTGGTACTTCGGTTCTTGGCTGGGCTTTGCATTACTTCCCTTTCTACTTGATGAAGCGTCAACTATTCCTCCATCACTACTTCCCCGCGCTATACTTCGCTGTCATCGCTTTGTGCCAACTCTTTGACTACGCCACTGCTCGCGTCCCCGGTGTTGGTGCTCGCGAGACATCTGTCATCAACCGCATTGCTACTGTCTCATTCCTTGTTCTGTCGGCTGCCGTCTTCACTCTTTATTCTCCTCTTGCCTATGGCAGCCCTTGGACTAAGGCTGACTGCAAGCGAGTCAAGCTTTTTACCACCTGGGATTTTGACTGTAACACTTTTTACGACAGCGTGAGTTAAACATTATCTTAGCATGTATCGAATATCAACTGACATGATGAATAGTACGATAAGTACAGCGAAATCCCGTCAATCAGCTCATCTGTGGTCCCAACAACCCCAGCAGCCAAGAAGGAAGAGCTCAAGAATGAGGTTCCTGTTGTTCAGCAGCAGGAGGAAGCTGTCATTTCCGGAGCCCCTCCCGCTCCTGACCAGCATGTAGAGCATCGTGTTGTAGCTAAGGAGGAAAAGGTTGAGTATCGCGACCAGGATGGCAACCTTCTTGACCCAGAGGAGGTGAAGGCCCTCGAGGGTAAGGTTGAGTTCAAGACCAAGTATGAAACAAAGACGCGTGTTGTTGATGAGCAGGGCAACGAAGTTCAGGAGCCCGCCGAGGGTTGGGATCAAAACCTCGATGCCGGTGTTGCCCCTCCTCACCCTGATGTTGAAGGCGTCGACAGCGAGACTGTCAAAGCCAATGTCGAAGATGCTGCCGCTCCTCAGGATGCTGCCGCCAGTAAGGATGGCGAGAAGGAGGCTGAGGAGGCTAAGGCCAAGCCTGCCAGCGAGAATCAACAGGACGCTACCGTCAATGATGAGCTTTAGGGGCTTTTTCTCATACATGTCCTGACCGACTGCAGGACTCAGCCAATAACATTTCCCACAGCCTCGCCACACCCTGTAACATCATGTACGTTATCACTTACGACTTATGGAGGACGGGAAGATTTCTCTAGTCTAATTCAAAAGGTTCAAATTCAGGATCAACATTTCGATCTTGAAATGGAAAACATACCAAAAAGAAGGGGAAGGGTTTAGACGAAACCAGAACTGGGACGTCGAGCTATGACGTATTCTCATTTGTTTACATGTATCGAGAGTAATACTGTGGCGGTAAGATATTGGCAGTTGATGCACACACGAATCTCGTATAATACAATCTTTATGTTTAAGTTCGTTTTGCGTGCAAACATGTGATATGGATTCGGCGCTGTCACCTCTGAAGGAAGGAAAATTCAACAGATATCTGAGATTGCTTGCACTATGCATTGCAGCATCAATCAGTAACGGGCACGGAATTGACGAGAACAATCAAACACTACTTGGTGAAGTCAAACGTCCTCCTTTCTAACAATGTGTTCATATTTCGGTGAAAGATAAAATATCGTAGGGGTCGAAAATTATAGTTGGTATCATATCTATTACTACTACAACTAATGGCATCGCCAGAGGGCATGTTTGACGGCCGAGAGTAATCTAACAAGTTGTAAGAGCAAGCGCATGCCTGCCTGCGTTTTGCGTTGTTTATTTTTGCTGCGCAAATCAGCAACCGATTCATAACGCTGATCAAAAGACAAAGAACAAATAAAATATGTCATCTCGAAAAAGAAAAAAAAAACCCGTTGCCCAAATCGTTGCGCCGCTCCAAGTGAATGACGCATAATTCCGTTAAACGCCAGTAATGAAATTCCGTCTTCAGCAGCCCATAAGCAGCCGACCAATTCCGACTTTCGTTCTTCCAGCCAAGTTCCGTGCCGTATTCGTCCAATAAAGAAGCACAGGAGTAAGCGTTGAACCTCCCACTCCCTGAGTCCAATGATAGCTTGCTCCAGCAATCTGTCAAGTAATGCCGCCAATAAGACGTGATCCAAAGAAGAAAAAAAGAGAAAATAATGCATCCAATCCTGAAGCCAAACTAGTATACATAGTAATACACAAAGCCCATTATGTGTCTAGACTGTTAACGTCAAGGGGGTTTTGAAAGAATATTGCGCTGTTAATCCGTGGCTGGGATCGTGAGGGATAGTCGTTTTGTCTCCTCTGATCCGGAGGCACTTTTCACGTCAAGAGATTGGACGGAAGTGCGAACACTCCTTGCTCCATCGATCTGCATAGGAGGTGTATGTGGCTCTTCTATAGGCACAGCGTTACTCATATCGCTTAGTGTTCGCTCCATTGTCGTGGGTGGGGTTTGAAAACCAGGGACTTCGAGATGGTCCGACCTCACACTGCCCTCATCGCTGTTACGCGGACTTTTCTCCATATCAATAGAAAGGGGCGCTGGAATGCTTGGAATGACACCTCCTCCAATGCGAGACCAAAACATCTGCTCTCTGAGTCGAACGCTCTCCTCCCAGGCAGCCTTCTCATGGTCCTCGTTGTCTGCTCGCCAATGACCGTCCTTGATCATACGTAAAAAGCCCAAGAAATCGCAGGTTGAACGCACACGGCTAAGGCAATACTTGCAGAGAGGATGTCGTTGAGCGGAGTCGGTCTCACTTGTTCGAAATCGATGGTTGCGAAGATATTCCGGGCCCTTGCGGGAGTCACCACACAGTGAACAAGGGTAAAATTGTGGCTTCGTCAGTGCGACTAGGGATCCAGTTGTTGGCACAGGTTCAACTACCAAAGTTCCGTCAGCAATAGAGGCGATGACAGATCGCCGGGCGAGCCAAGACAACCCTGGTGCCATGTCCAGGCGGAGTGTAGGCTCGATATCCTCTGCCAGAACGCGTTTATAGAACTTTGTTTCCCTTAAACTAGGGAGAGGAGTAGTGGAGGCGTTCGAAGCAGCGCTGACAGTTGAGGCTGGAGTATTCGGCGACTGAGGTGCACTTCCGGGGCCAGGAATAGGAGTGCCGAGCGACGTAGTAGATGCGTTTGAGGGGTGGGCACTTGATATTGAACCACCAAGTCCAAAGCCAGTCAACGCATTCAATGCACCCACAGAGCCCGAGGATACACGGCTGCTGGCGCGGTTCCGGGAGATTCGGGTGAGGCTGACAAAGTCATCATAAGAAGACAGGTCGGTTCGCAAGATGGGCTGGATCAGATGGGAGAAGCTCGTTGGGTGGGCGGGTTCGACAACAGCGGCAGCACCCCATAATGAAGGTATTGGCTCTTCAGTAGAGGATCGGCGATCGTCCCGAGTGTCGGGTTTCGTTAACCCAGGGGAAGAGGGAGCAGTAGGGTTGGTGTGTTCCTCTCGTCCGGCAGCCATGTGTTCCATGACATGCTTGAGCTCTACAAGCTGCTCTTGTTGTGACTTAAGTATGCTTTCTGTATCCGCGAGCTGAGACTTGAGCTGGTCGTTCTTGCGTTGCAAGGCTTCATGATCAGCTTTGGCCTCCTCCTTGGCAGCTATAACCATCTTATTCGCTTCCTCGAACAATGCTGCAGTAAGATTTTCCAGTTCTTGCTCGATCTTCTTCTTTTCCATTTCCGTGTCAAGACGCTTTTGACGTTCCGCGGCTATCTTGGCCTGCCAAACCTTCTTTTCAGCCTCAACGGTATGTTTGCGAACCCACACGTCACCAGCCAACATTTCGCGTTGCGAGGCATTTTGTGTTTCCAAATCGCGGATACGATCGCGCGCAGCATCAAGTTCGTGGCGGGCGGCGGATAAGGAGTCGTCTAGTATTGTTTGATGGTTGATTGCATTGATGAGCTTGTTGCTGAGAGTGGCGACTTCGTCGTTGAGGTCAGGGTGATGGCTGGGAGTTGCAACACCACTGTCATCCGCAGGGCTTATTGCTCGACTGCGCGGATCGGGTATTGTGCTCATCTCGTCTCCAAAATCTACAGATGCACTCTTTACCCCAAGAGGTAGATGTGTTGAGGATGAGGATTTGATCGGCGTGTGGTCGGGAGTGAGTGACGGAGTTCGGGGATGATAGCTGGGGGCAGCTGCTATCGAGGAGAGAGATCTGAAGTGGCCTAACGATCGCCGGGATGCTGTCGATTTTGTTGCCAAAGGCTGACCCCAGCCGGCGGCGGCGGCGGACATTGGAATAAATCTACAGTGTGTAAGTTTCAAGCCAATGACAGCATATGGAAGTGGCCGAAGTTGGGCAATAGAGTTCGATTGAGTAGGTGTGCCACCGGAATAATGGGAGGTGTAGGTGGGATGTCCTGAGTCAATTCAAGCTGGGAAAGATGGTAACATACGAATCCATTGTGATCGGGCGCGTGGTTCCTGTGTCAGTTGGATAGGTACGTCTTGTGCTCTCGGCCCAGAGAGGCGTGACCTGACCTATTGTGACAGGTCGATATGAGACGACAAGTCAATGGGCAGACTTGTTGGAATAGTCAAACTCTCGAGGGAAACTGAGGAGAGCAAACGTGGGAATGGAGAAGACGGATCCTCCGGGCCCGATAAGTGACGGCGAGCCAAATGGGAGATGGGAAACAAGAGATCCGAGCGACGGAGTGAGACCCTGTGCTTGAAATGAGCGAGCCACGTTCCACAGCCAAAGAGTAACTGCGATCGGTCGATAGGTAGGGTCGAGAATTGAAATGCTGTGGCTTGTTCGGTTTGATTGGGCTTGGTATGGTTTGTTTTAATTTTGCTTGACTTCTGTCGCCAGGCTCTGGCAGTAAATGTGTAATGAGAAGGAAGAGAGGAAGCGAAAGTAAGGTACGAATACGTGGGTATTGTACGGTACTGGGTCTGATGTGAACCAACCTGGACCTGTTACGGTACGGTACGGTGCGGTAGGAGCAGGAGCAGGAGCAGGGGCAGGAGCAGGTAGGCAGGGTAGCACGGGCGACGGCGGTCCCTAGTTCTCCGCAAGCTTGTGAGATGGAGCTGAGTCCCAATCCGACAAAGTCGTGTCGTATCGTATCGGTCGCGGATCGTAATTGGGAAGTGGAGTCTTTCGGAAAGTCGTTTGACGATGTAATGATGTCGACGCAAGGCAACCTACTCAACAGATAAACAAGTTAAAGTGCCTACTTGTGCAAGTACCATTGAAGTTATGAAGGTGTATATAGGTAGGTATGTACAAGAAGTCTTGTCAAGAATATATTTTCCGTTGGAAAGGACGGCTCATGAATCGTGCCTTCTGCTCGTCTCGTTCATTTTCGCCTCGTCTCACCTGTTCTTGTGCTCGACTTGATCAGGCAGTCTATTGGGTGTTGGGCAGGCAGGAAAGAGGAGTGAAAGTACATCCGAGGCAAGTAACCCCCGCTGTGCAGGCCTCTAACACGTCAGTTGCCCAGTAGGGAAGGAGAAACGCGACGTGGTCCAGACCTTGACTTGGCCAACCAGGCCATTAGCGTTGCCGCCTGCGCCACGGATCGTCTGCTGACGCCACGCTATCACATTACAGGCGCTTGCTATCGAATTAATCCTTGTTGGGAAGAGTTATCGCTGATAGTTTGATCGGGCGGTACTTGTACTTCAAGTATCGAGAAAGGTATACCAGACCAGACCAGATCAAAAGGGATGCGCCTTTACAGCAAGAGCCCGTGCGCTGCAGTAGCGATGGATTCGAGGCAGGGGCCGTTCTAACGCCCTATCCGGGGCTTGGTTCGATTCTATCTTCTTTGGCTACAGATAGACCAACAGTCGAAGAAAGGTGAATGTCTAGACTCTGAATTATCGCCGAGGCACCTACATACAGGTACCCACGTTCCGACACCAGCCCGGGTCTGGGCCAGCCTTCCCATCTTGAAAACCCGAACTCCTGGGTTCCATCTACAAAAGTTTGCCGCCATGGCTAAATATTACGAGCTCAAAGGGGAAAAGAGGCAGAAAGAGAAGGGTTCTTTGGGTCGTGATGGTTCGAGAGAACAGAAAAATGAAAATACGGGTATGCAGACAAATTAAACAGAAAGGAGTTGGTATGAGCTGAGACAAGATGCAAGTTTGAGAAGTCCGCTGTTCTGTAGCAGTCATGGTTTATTGAAACATCGCTTATTAGTAGGCAATTGCTACTGCAGGTAAAGTGCTGTCTTCCCCAATGGAGGAATAGATAAAGTGACCTAAAGTGGGCAGCTATGACGGGGTCATTTGAGTCAATCAAGGATAAATGACGATTGACCAGGGTCTGTTTTTTTTTTCTCCCGTTTTTCTTTCCCTCGCTGGATGAACTTGGATGATGACTGCCCGGTGACCCAGTTTTCAAAGCCACGCGCCAAGGGATAAAGCGTTAAGTCAGAATTGAAATTGTAAAGGGAGATTCAGAGCGTCGTGACTCTTGACTAGACTAGTCTATTCTTGAGTATCCGTAAAGTGAAGCAAGTGCTCATGATTAAATTGCTTTAGGGTAGGCTGCTGATCCTTGAATGAGCTTCAAGAGTGACAGGCATGAAGTATGCTCGTTATTCAGGTCAGCTGGAATGTAATTGTCTCGACTTGATAGCAGATCTTACGGATAGTTAGACGCCATTGCTATCGTTTGTTAAACTAATGGCCTTCTTACCCTTGACTAGCAATCAACCAGCTATCTAACTACCTAGTAGGTTGTTGCCGTTCCACTGCAGCTCAACTATTACCTACTGCATACCATATCGTGTTTGGTGTTGACCAAGTAACATTGCGATGTAGTATCAGAAAATGCCGTGTTTCTTTACGACACTGCCAACACCCGCCTGTTTCTTCTGTATTCGTTTCAGGTAAACAAATGTTATCCACGTCAACCTACCAGGTAACGTTGGGTTAGTACACAGTTAGTAGGTATCTGTGCCCATCCAAGGTCCAAGTGCCTGGAAAGATTCAGGGTCCAAAGCAACCCTATGACATCACAACAAATATACCCAGCCCAAATTCAATTGGGGTGGTTTGGACCAACGAATGGTTAGCTTGTTTAATTAGTTGCCTATGACCAACATACCGAAGCTCGCCCTTGCTTAAAAAACCCAACAACTTGGCCTTTACTCTATAACCAGAATACGTACTAATAATTCAAAATGACATGAACAAGCCAAGTCAAAACGGTGGGTCGGTTCTTGATATGGCCAGCCCACCCTATAGTTGCCAAAAACTCACCAGAAGCATTTAAGCATTTAAGACACATGCAAGACTCAAGATCACCAGGAATTACCACAAAAGATTTGAGAGTGTCATCAAGCTACCTAGTACCCATGTTAGCATGGATGAAATAAGGACAACCACCACGTATATTTGCACAATCATCTTAAACACCATCTAAACTCCCGACAGTTGTCATGCGTGTATCTAGACTTTTAATTGACATACAGTGGGAAGTTACAGCTAAAGAATCAAGCAAAGAGCTTTCTAGACTCGCTAAGAGGAAACGGAAAAAGATCTATGTTCCGTCATCCTCTCTTTCCTTTACATCATCTACGCAGTCCTGCCAGCTAATCCACTTCATGTAAGCGCATTCAAGACCCGCAATGATGACCATACCACTTCCAAGACCAATCCAGAGGCCGTCAAGCTTCAAATTGGGACTTCCCAACTCGAGCCATATGGCGAATGGCACGGCGGCCAGGTAATTGACTGCCAGCACAACACAGGCAGCAACAGACTGCTTCGCCAGGCCCCTCAACACACCATTGGTCCCGCAGATGATGGAGTCAATGATCTGGAAGCAGGCAACAGTGACCATGGATCCTACAGCAAGGTCCTTGACCGTAGAATCATCCGAGAACAAATCTGCAAGTGGTCGCCGCAGCAGGAACAGGAACGCGCCATCCAAGATACCGATACCGACAAAGACAATGGAATATAGGATCGCCGCCCGACGCGCTTCTTTTAGAGCTCCAGCCCCTACGAGATGGCCGAAGCGAGTGGTGACGGCGACGCTGATAGAGAAGGGCACGTGCCAAGTTACAATGGAGAGAGTGTTGAGAACGGTTTGAGCAGCGAGGTGAGGAGTATCGATATACGAAGTGCTGATCATGAGGATCTCAAAAGCAAGCCACTCAGCAAGGTTAACGGCCGTGCTGGCAACAGAAAGACGAGTCATAGGACCCCATTCACGTACTGCAAAGGCGGCACGGGCATCCCAACCACCCCAGCAACGATGGGATTTTTTGCCAATCAGGACAACGTAGAGCAGAAGCAGCGCGGGACGTAGGTTATTGGCGAGCGCTTGGCCAAACGCAGCACCATCGAGGCCCATGTTGAGCTTGACGGCAAAGTACCAGCTCAGAAAGGCATTGACGGGAGCGCAAATGATAAGAACGACCATGCCTGGACCAAACTCGCCCTGCGCCTGCAGAAATCTCTTGCCCGCCTCGAAGAAAGCGTAACCGGGTAGTCCGACAAGACTGACGCGCAAGAACGATGCTGCTTTGAGGGCGAGGCTTCGCTGGGGGACGAGCAGCGGGAGGATCCGGTGAGAGCATAGCCAGATGGCACCGACAGGAATCATGACGATAGCCATCAAGACCATCATACGCTGGATGTGCATTCCGACACCGGTATAGCGACCAGAACCGTACGCCTGAGCACATAGCGTGTCGAGTGCCGTGGCCATGCCCTCAAAGATAGTGAAGCCGATGATATTGATTGTTGTCAGCGCTAGACTAGATGCCGCGAGCTCCTCGGCACCTAGCCGGCCAGCAACGATGGTGGTGATAACGGTAAAGGAATACTGAAGAAGATAGGTCGCAATCAGAGGAAGCGAATATTGACACAGAAGCCTCGCCTCAGCCAGCAGGCTGTGGACGTCTGTAAGCGATACTGACGTCTCAGCTTCGCTGACCTCTGATATCCGAGGGAGCAATGGCGATGTCTCGTCGTCTAACACGTCATTGTACTCTTGCTGCTGGCTCTCGCCTCGCCAACGTTCGCTCCGAGGCATTGGGTTGGTGGTTAAGATCGCAATGCCTACTCTGAAAGAGCTGAGACGGCCTCAATCGATATGGGCCGAGTCCTAATGCAACGATCCACTCACTCGAGGGCGAATTGCATAGAGTAGAAGATGTTTAGAGAAAGAATTCTCGTGGCTAAGCGAGCCTTGGAGAGAGACGTCTCGACCCACCGATCTCGGACCCCCACTGGACCAGTAGTGGTGCTCCTCTCCGCTTGAGCGACAGATACGACTTCCATGTCAACATATTAATTCTTGAACAATTTTAACACTTCACATTCACTTTTCAGAAGAGATCCCTCAGCATCCTTGATGTAGTTAAAAGTATAAGAAGAATCGCCATGTCGCTCTGCAGTTTTAGTGATGTTGGCACAAGTAGCAACTGCTGGAATTATCCCGATCAACTTATAAAGTATCAATATGAAGATATTTGGCATCGAGAATAAAGGTTTTGAGCCTAATATAGTTCGTTATCACTGGTTGTTGTCATAGCAGGGTTAAAGATACCAATAAGAAACATATTACAAATCGAACGGATGCATTGGGAAAAGGGGAGGAAAGCAAAAGATGTGAGAAAGTGAGATCCAACGGAATATAACGGCATAACTTATACTTGCCTTATTAATCAAAACGGCGCCATGTCAGCAAGTTATGGTATGGTGGTGAATGGTGAGGTGAGTAAGGGGCAACATTCAAACATATAAAAGCAGACAATGCCAAATAACCTCTTCTCAAATAGTTTCTAATTCAAGCTTGCTTTCTATTTGGCAATAATATGAACAAATCTAAGCTCATTGTCGTTATTGGTGCAACAGGAGGCCAAGGTGGCTCTGTTGTTGAGACATTCCTCCAAGACCCTACATGGCTTGTTCGTGGCATCACCCGTAATCCTTCAGGCCCAAGAGCAAAGACTCTTCAGTCCCGCGGTGTCGATATAGTACGAGCAGACTTGGACGACCCGGTGTCTCTAGCACATGCTTTTCAAGATGCCAGTGTCATCTTCGCCATTAGTGACTTTTGGGGTATCTACAGCGAATCTGATAATCCCGACAAACCAGAGCCTGGCTCACTATTTAACGAATGGGTTAAACAAAAGGAAACCCAGCAACTCAAGAATATCATCGACGAAGCCGCCAAACTCACGAGCCTAGAAAGATTCGTTATCTCATCACTGCCAAATGTGACCAAATTGACAGGCGGAAAGTACACCAATGTCTGTCATTTTGACTCAAAGGCCAACGCGGTTGAATACGGCGAACAACACCAGCCAGATCTTTGGTCCAAGACGAGTGTTTTCCTTCCAGGCTACTTTATGAGTAATTTCCTTGATCATCCAATGGCAAAACCCATAAAGGTGAGTCCTCTGATACCTATCATGGTATATTTGAATTCTAACTGGCACTGCAATATAGGGAGATAACGGTCGAGTACAATTTTCAACAAACCTGGATCTCGATAACAAACTACCATTTATTGCACACGATCAAGACTCTGGACCATTTGTTAAATCTTTAGTTCAAAACGGCCCAAACAAGAGTGTTATTGGATACCGAGCTTGGTTGACACTCCGACAGTTTGTTGACATATTCAGCAACGTGACAGGATATGAGACAGAGATACTGAAATTTCCACTTGGCCAGTTCACCTGGGACTGCGAGCCTGAGTTGAGAGACGAACTTCGTGAAACCTTTGCCTTTGTCAACGAGGTCGGGCTACACGGCGGTGACGACGCAGGATATAGCCATCCTTATGCTGTAAGCTTTTCTCTCTTGATATTCTCGCTTGCCAATGATAAGCACTGACGAATGAGCCTCCAGCTTGAGACATCTCCAAACGTTCAAAGTATCGAGGCTTGGATCACTGAACAAAACTGGGAGAAAGTACTGGGGCCTTGAAGAGTTGGGTACCTGAATAGCAAGGTGACCAAAGAGTATTTGATATTTGTCCTTGAATCTTACTTGTTGATTGGGTAAAACATTCGCTCTTAATGGATCGGAATTTTCTATGACCGCCCGTATATTCAACAAGAGGTAGTGAATCTCTCAGGATCCAAGTTGTGACAAGCTGTTCTATTTATGTGGTGACCTCGGTAGTCATTGATATGGTCGCCGTTCACAATCGACCGTTACATTAGTTTAATGGCTTGTGGGGACAAAAGCCAGACCATTCCAATACCCCGCAGAGTGTCAGCGAAATCCAAGAAAAGGTGCAGGGTCGCCCATAACTTCCATGTAACTAATTTTCAAGTGCAGCGTTTCGCCCTGAAGCTGGCTGTGATCAACATCAACGAACTGCCTTTCGGGTCGCCTCGATAGATACCTGCCAGCTAAAATGAACACCCCTTCAAAAATCGTCGTTGTTGCCTCCAACAACATCCCAAAGATCAAAGCAACAAGTGAAGGATTTAAGCAGATGTTGCTGGACACCTATGACTTCCAAGGTCTTAGTGTAGATTCCCACGTCTCAGATCAGCCCTTCTCCGACGAGGAAACACTCCATGGAGCGACAAACAGAGCTCAGAATGCCCAGACATTAAAGCCAGAGGCAGACTTCTGGGTTGGCATTGAAGGAGGCGTTGAAATCCACAACGGCTCTCTCTGCTCTTTTGCATGGATCGTGGTCATTGGAAAGAGTGGAAAAGTTGGAAAGGCACGTACGTCGGCCTACTTTCTGCCCGAAAAGACGTGCAAGCTGCTGAAAGAGGGTGTCGAGTTGGGCCATGCGGATGATATGGTGTTTGGCCAGACGGATTCGAAGAACAAGCAAGGTTCAGTTGGGCTTCTGACGGGTGGTGTTGTCGATCGGGCAGCTTATTATACTCAGGCAGTTATTCTGGCCCTCATTCCCTTCAAAAATACATCGTTGGATTTCTGAAACCCTTCTCAACATACAAGGCAAGGTATGTGCTCGCAGGCAAGAAATATACATGTGTATGTATGTATTCGTTTTAACAATATTATATCGGCGATTCAAATATTATAGTATATGCATGCGGACTTTTCTTCCCTCCACCATGTTTTCTGCAAACATTCTGTTATTACTATTCCATCCACCTCTTTGACGTATTTGACAATTAACAAGGTAAGGTGCATATAGATATACAGCCATGACGCCACGCTATAATGGGACTAAAAATATTATTTTTGACAAAGTTGGCTGATGCCAGCCATTATGTATCCGTAAGATAGAGAAAAAATGACCGTTATCGACAGTATCGCCAAGTATGCAAATGAAGCAAAGTCAAGTGTTGCTGGAAGAACAGACATGTGCTGCTTGCGTTTATTTAAAGATTGGCGGTTGCATTGTGAAGGCGAGCTTTAAAAAGGTATTGCTTATAAGAGTCAACCCTTCAACGGTACAAGGCTTCATTCCAATCACCCACTTCAGTCATGCCGTATGGATTCCACTCTTGCCCAGGATAACTAGTCGCGCTCATCTGAGCAGGCACCTCCCCATCTGAATCGGCGTTGGGATCATAGTGGATCTTTTCTTCCTGTGAGTTGAGACGTAGTGTACGTTTTCGTGCGTCTTCTGTGTTCTCAAGTTCGGCATGGAATGAAGGGCCCCCGCTGGGTTTGGGTTGGGACGGAGCCCTCGAGTCGCCTATACTTGGTGGGGATGGCCTGGTTGGTCCCGAACTGGCATTGCGTGTCGTCGCAGTAGGTGGACTGATGGACACGCCCTGAGACTCCTCTGCCTTGGGAGAATAGCCTCGGCTGGCGTCCGTCGTAGATCCAGCTCCTATAAAAATCTCCCCAACGGATTCAGAAGCAAACACAGGCATGGGAAGGGAGGGAACCTGGTTCTTTAAGCCACCGTTTTGTTCCGTGCCGATTTCTGGGGAAATGTGCTCGTTGGGCGATGAACTAGCGCTCGCCCGAGGGTTTCCGTTTGTTCCGCCACTATAGAGGTCAGTGTGACCACGGTTCTCCTGCTGGGGCCCTTCAGTGTCGATGCTGCCAGAGGCAAGAAGATTGAGGAGCGAAGGACGTGGCGATGGTGCGTGAACCGGTGTGGGCGCGTGAACAGTGTCAGGAGTAGAGACATGAACAGGGTGCGACTCTTCCCCATGAACCATTTGCTGACTCGGATGCCCAGGCTGTGGACTATAAGGCTGCTGGGAGAAGTGCGAATGCCGGGGACTTTGATGTGCAGGCGAATTTGGACTCTGGCCAATGGTACCTTGCCACTGGCCAGGATAAGAAGCTTGCCGAGATTGAGTGGGCAAAGGCTGATTCCCTAGCGAATGTGTCTGATGTTGCCACTGACCCTGAGATTGTGGAGGAGATTGAAATTGTCCCTGAATCTGAATAGGGGCGTGGATTTGGCCTTGATGTTGGATGGGGGACCCGAACTGTCCTTGTTGTGGTGGCGGCGATGGAAATTGTCTTTGCTGAAGTGATGGAGACTGGAATTGTCCTTGGTGTTGGGGAGGAGACTGATAGTGTCCCTGCTGTCGCGGCGAGCGGTGGGTTGGATCAGTAGGTGAGTTTGGGGGCAAGAACTCGCCTTGAGGCTGAGGGGGTTGATACACAAGAACATGCTGTGGCGAATGCATGCCTAGTTGTCCTTGAGGGATGGATCCTGAAGAACTACGGATCTGCTGCTGAGGTAGAGGTGGGCTGATAAACATCGAAGACTGTCTTTTATATTGCAGCTGCGCAGTAGACTGGTTGCTCAGATGTGACAATGGTCGTGAAGTTGCGGCTTGCCCGAAAGGCTGGCCGCCAACATTTGAAGATGGGCGAGGGGACTGTGCTTGCCCGTATGGAACCTGAGCAGTAGAATGCTGCTGAAGAGGCTGCCGTTGCTGTGGAGCTCCCATCTGGTGCTGTTGGTAAGCTTGGAAATCTGGAATAACCATAGACTGCCGGTTTTCCTTGGAACCTCGTTTAAATGCCCCGAGGATCTTGCTTGCAGTCAGCTTGTCTTTGTCAGCCTCGGTCTTTCCTTGACTAGGCTGTGACTTATGCACAACTTGCGCAGACATGCGATTCTTAAGGCCCTTCCACTTCGATACTCCAGGACTCCCCTGCCGAGCTGGCTGGTCAACAACCTGGGGCTGCTGCAGATGGCTCGTTTCGTTCTTTGGAGGAACTGGGGGGTTTCCGTCAGGTCCCTGCATCTGCATTGGCAGACGACCCGAAGCCATCTGATAAGCACCCTGCCGAGGAGGACCGGCCTGCGACGAGAAGTTTGAGGACTGCTGTTGCTGAGGTAAAATTCCCATCCTACTAGTGAATGCCTGTACTGGAGGACTGGTAGACGCGGCCGGAATGACTGGAGTCTCAGGTTGTGAAATTTGTGAAGATTGCCGCCTTCCACTAGTAGGAAAGGAACTGTTCAACCGAGGACTCTGTGTTGCCATTGAGGAAACAGATGGTGGCCCTGTCTTCGAGGCCTGGGATACAGGGGACAGAGGCATGCCGTCATCTAATGCAATCTGTCCAGGTCTCGCGTTCTGCCTGAAAGACATGTTCGGCGAGTCAGTGACGGGCCGTTGAATAGGCGCTATCTCTTGCATGTGTTGTGAAAGCTTTTCGAACGACTGCGACGGATGATGAAACGAGGTTTGTGTCGTCGGGGCTGTGTTTGGAATGTTGAAGGACGTCTGTGTTGTTGGAGCAGAACGTATGCCTGACGCCGCTGGCGAGATTGATCTCATTCCTTCGGTTCGAGGGTCATGGAAGCCCTGGCCGACACTGAAAGGAGTTTGAGGTGTGCTATGACGACTGTGGTCTATGGTCATCACGATTGGAGGAGTCCCCGCAGGAGTCGTGGAGCCAAAGCCTAGTGGTGATGGGCGGGAGTTTCGGTACACTGTCTGAGCGTGTTGGCTCTCTCTTATTGCACCCGACGAGGTTCTAGAGGTCAGCATGGGAGACTGCTCCCTGGGAACAGCATCGCCAACCATTTGGCGAACCATTGGCGGTTGCTGGTTGACAAATGGCTGCGGTCTTTGGGGTTGAGGGCTGGCGAGAGGCGGGACATCGCTCTGAGGCGTTGGGATTCCAGGAGTCTCGGGGAAAGCGCCAGGCATCTGCAGAACAGGGGTAGGCAGCTGAGGACCAGATGGGCTTTGATCCTGAGATTGCGGCATTCCATGTTGGGATGGATTGAGTTGTAGTTCAGAAGGGTGGCGATCATGCGACTGTTGGGCGAGATGCTGTTGCATCTGAGGTGAGGCACTCTGCTGACCTTCCTTGCTCTTGTGGCCATGCCCTAAGAGACCCGAGATCAATCCAGCGGCCGAGCCACGTCTTGTGCGACGATCTGAAGCATCGGCAGGGGGTGCATTTGGTAGGGTTGAAAGCATCTGGTTGAAAGTTGGACCAGCAGTGTTGCTTCGCTCGAAACCAGGATGGGATCGCTCCAGAGATACTGGCTGTTGTACGCCTAAATGACTTGAAATCGGCCTAGAGGTAGTGGGAGTGCCGGGTTTGGCATATGTGCCACTGCTTGGCCTGTTGAATACGTTTGTCATAGCAGCTTTAGCATTGAAAGCTGAGAATCGCTTCTTAGGAGGAGGGGTAGCACTTCCATTCTGGCTCAGCTCGTTAGCCAGATTGGAGGTAGCTGCGCGAGGTACACCCGAAGGCCTTGATTGGGCAGAATCAATGCCCAACCCGGGATTGATTCGAGATGCCCTCTTGTCTTCAATTGCGGTGTGTGGTCTCGAGTCTTCCGGGCGTGGAGGAGGAGGCATAGAGAGCTTTTCTCGGCTCTGTTTATTTCTAAGACCCAGCATGAAACTGGCCCTGGATTTCTTCCGGTCGTTTGTTCCATCCGTCGCTACACTAGACACGGAAGCTGCATCATGGTTAGCCTCTGGAAGCTGTGGAGGCTGGTATGGATTGTAGTTGTCAACAGGTGTGCGCTGTCGCTCGGTTGAAGACTTCCTGAAGCGATGCCCAATATCCTTGAACAGTGCCGACGCTCCCCTAGAACGACCGCGATCATCACCAGGGACTTCATTGCCACTAGTTCCCGTTCTTGAGATACCTTCCTCGTGAGACAGGCGCCCGGCAACCTGAGAAGCCAAACCGGAGCGGGTTTCCTGTGAATTACCCTGTGGTGGTTGCTGACCAGAGAAGAGGCCTGGATATCGATTGGTCGTTGAGGGGGGCACCTCGGAAGGCTTCTGTCGTTGATGATGATGCTGATACGGAGTGGCCGAGCTCGACGACGGAGAAGCGGGCACATCACCTGTCTCTTTGTTGTAACCAAACGACGGATCATGCTGCGAATGTCGTGAGTGTTGCGAACGCTGTGAGATCTGCGAGGCGTTTGTGCCAGCTCGGTTCCTATTGACAACGTGAAGAGGTTCGGCTAAGTGACTTTCTTCCAGCTTCCATTGTCCCGATGGAAGAAGTGGTGAAGCCTTGGGGGTAACACGATGTAAAGGTTCTGACAGATGGCTTTCTTCGAGTTTCCAGGGACCGGAAGGAGGCAGTCTCTGGACTGGGTTGCCACCGCCACCCATCAAATGGGGCGGTAATAGTGGCAGTGAAGGGTTCTGGTATTCCGGGTTATGTGGTGGCATAGGTCCCTGATTGACTGGATGCATCTGGAGGGAATGACGTGGTACCGCCTGAGGGGATCGTTGCTGTGAAGCACGACGTTGCCGCTCCGGAGTCATCGCAGGTGTTTCTGGATCATCAACATCCTTCTTATATTCTTTATCAGGCGCAATCGAGTCGGTTCCCACCAGAGTTGACCCGACCGTAACCTCGGATGTAATGGTTCCTTGCTGGCGAAGGATTTCGTCATAACCTTCATCATCAGCTGAAACACGCTCGTCTATAGGCTCAGTCGGTCTCCGCTCGACTGCAGTCGGTCTTGGGTTGACATCGAAAGTCGAACCCCTTCTGATA